TGATGTCCATAGAATGGTTCATGAAGAAAAAGTTCCCTGGTGAAATATGCATGGAAAATATTAAGCAAAACAAAGTGTTTCTGAGTTTTTACTGCAGGCCTTCACTGAGCATTTATAGCCTGACAAGCACTGGCAAAAGCTGGAGAAGGGAATGAGAAATTAGGCCTGTCCAAGTTCCCAGGGAACCGTATCTATCCTGGAGTATCTCCTAGATCTAGTGTTCTGTGGAACCCAACTCAAGAGGGTCAGATAAACTCTAACCATCTGATAGCAACATCCCACCAAACATGATCCTGCTTCTTTGCAACTTCTCTAGGACACACAGCTCACTGTCTTAATTAGTCTGCTCTACTAATGATTTTTCTGACTCCTTTCTTCCCACCGAGTGACCCTGGGTCCCAACAACGAACCTAGAGCATCTTCCATCAACTAAAGATCAAATTCATATTAAAGTTGCACACCTTCTTTGATTTTTGAATCCACACCCAAAATATAAACTCTGTACCCATGCTCAGAATAAAGCAAACAATCATAATTATGCCCTGGAATAAAATTACTGCATATTTCCTTTAAACAGAAGTCTCCCTTAGAGGTGTTAAAACAAAGGAAAATAAGATCCAAATTCATGCATACCAACAGAGAGAGCAGGATATACCTGCTCAATAGGAGAGCATTTTAAATTTAAAGATATATCTACAGATAGCATTTTTGAGCCTCCAATCTTTCTACTACACAGGACATTTGCTGATAATACCGGGATGTCTCGGAGGTTTGCCTAAAAGATAGCAAGTGGCGAGGAAAGCACAGATGAGAAGAGGGAAGAGCGGGATGAACATGTGAGCTGGCTGTGAATTTGTCACCAGCTCCACCGGGGGAGCGAGTAAAGGGGAGGTGGGGAGAGCTGAGGAGAAACGCCACCAGCACCATGAGCCACCTAACAGGAAAGATGAACATCTGATTAAGTGCAGAACCCGTGTTACACCCTCATTTTACTCAACTAGTTCAATTCCATGTACAAAGAGCAAACAGTTCGTGTACACCTATTTAACTTGATTGAACCAATAGGATTATTTGCACTAGGAGGTATGTGATATACATATTCTTGTTGGGGCTTTATGAGATGAGGATAAATGGTTCAGGTTCTGTGAATAATGTTAATGCAAAGTGTCCCTCACTTTTTATATATAGGAAGATAGAGGGAAAGATTGGCGCATGCTCTCTCCTTATATGTGCAAATCACCCCGAAGACATTAAAGCAAGTAGTCTGTATTTTCAGTTTGTAGAATTAGATACGTATGCTTCCAGGAACAATATTTAAACATAATATCAAGGGAATGTGGGGAAGACGACTAAAAGGACTAATTCTAGGGAAGGGCTTCATCTTCGCCCGAGGGACGGGTGGCTCTTCTGACCACCTGTGGTTGAAGAGAACATATAGCCCTGCATCCATCAAGGGTCTGCCATGCAGTCCAGGTAGCGCACAGGCGACATGGAAATGAACAAGCTCTGCTAGGCCAAGAGACAGAGTCAGTTTTCGTAAGGAGATGTCACTACTGTCATTAGCTGCCACAAAGTTGGTCTCCAACTCATGGTAGTGCCACTCACAATGGAAGAAAATATTGCCTAGACCCATGGCAACTTCGTGATTCATGATGGATCAAACCATTGTGATCAATAAAAGTTTCATTGGCTTATTTTTCAGAAGTAGGCAACCAGACTTTTCTTTCTAGTCTTTTTTAGCTTAGGAACTCTGTTAAAACCTAGTCAACATCATAGCAAATAGAAAGTATCTACTACAAGTGTTTCATTGGCTGGCGATCTAATCTACAGGAGGGTGAAAATTGTATAGATCAGGAGTGAGCAACTTTTTTGTTGCAAATAGCCATTGCGCTATTTATAACATCTTCACAGGCCATACAAAATTATCAACTTAAAAACTGACCTGCTATGATTGGTTCAACACTTAATTAACTCATCCCTAAAGGTAAGGCTAGTAGTGCTTCTCTTTGGTGAGCCATGTGATATTAGCTGGTCTTGGTGATTTTGTGGGCCTTATACAACTAGTGGGCCAAACATTCCCTACTGCGGCTATAGTCACTCTGGTTTCCAGGTTCCACATGGAAACGAACAAGAACATCCGGAAACAAGCTAGTGCCTGGGTGTGGGCATGCTTGCATATCTTTGCATGTATATAACTTGTCTCATTATGAATTATGGGTTCTCTGGTAATCAGGCTATCTGATCTCAGAAAAGGCCTTGCTTTCTCTGTCTTTCAATTTCTCTGTAAAACAAAGGGTGAACTAGAGCACAAATCAGCAAAGTATGGCTCAAGGACAAAATCCAGACTGCTGTTCCTTTACTTAAAGTTTTATTTGAACAGGGTCGTGTTTATTCAGTTATATGCTCCCTGTGGCTGCTTCTGAACTATAAAGTCAGAGTTGAGTGGATGCAACAGAGACATATGGCCTACAAACCTAACATATTTACTAACTAGCCCTTCACAGAAACAAAAATTTGCTATTCCTTGAGACAGCCTATCTCTAATATTGATTTTGGCTTTTGATTCTGCAAAATATAGCCAAAATATTACACAGTACCTGGTTCAGTTGCTTCTTGCCATCTTTCTTTATACACTGCCTTTTTCTTTAAAGTTTTGCTCACAAAATATATGAAGCACCTAACTGTAGACATGTACATTTCAAATAGGAAATCAAGGCCAAGGGAGAAAGAGGAGAGCATGAGATGCAGGCAGGTGGGTGGTGAATACATAGAACGCAAACCCTAAGGCTCAGTGAATTCCTGGGGCCATCTGTAGGTTCCTAGCAGTCACCACAAAATGAAAGGCATGAGCCTCTTCCAGATTTTGAGTGTCCATTGGATGATTATCAGGAGAAACACAAACGGTGTATGCTGTGAGTCTCTGCATAAACCAGTCACATGAAATATAGTGAACAGTACTCACTACCACCAAGCTGGGAAATATCCCACTGACACTGGATGCTCTGTCGGAATGATCCTTAGGGTGGGCCAACTCTAAATCCCAAAGCAGAATTTATCATTCGGTATCTTGCAAATCAACACTACTTTTAAAATAACATTTTATGAATTAAAAAAGAGAAGAGGCGGTACTCCTGGTGATGGATAAGGCAAAGATAGGCTACTCTGAGACCTGAAGCTGCAGAGTCAAGGAATGCTCATCACTTGGTGATGAGGCTAGGGGTCAGTTCCAAACCAGCACTGGTCATCATTCATCATGGCTAGCAGAGTCCTATAACTTTACCTATAAGGTATGAAACCCTAATTCACATTCCAGAGTCTCATCGTTTGAGCCTTGCCCACTATATCCCAGCCAAGGGATTTTCATCTGTGCCAAACGAAGCCACTGAGGAAGGGGTCCATAAATGGAGGCCAAGCTCCTGAGACATGTGTCAAGACAAACAAATTAAAAATTGAAAAGGAAAACTGAACAAGCAGAGGTACCTTGGTAGCTAGTCTTCTTTCAGTCCCATTGTTGGAGGAATAAACACATGGTTGGCTCAAGTCAAGCACAGCTTTAGGGTCTAGCAGGTAGAATTCTTTTTTTGCTTATGGAGTGTGACTTCCACATAACATTTGTTCCTTGCTCAGAGCAAGGACCTGCTTTATTTTGCTAGAGGAGAACTTTATTCTGACGGAAACTCCTAGAACTCCAAGATGACTTCTCTCTGCAGTGGTGCTCCAGTAGCAAGGGCAGGATTGTCCCTAAGACTACCAGAGACCAGCTGGAACCTGGCGTCAAGAGAGAAATTTCTTTCCCACTCATTGATATCAGCCCAGCTTCACCTCTGACTCCAAGGAGAACCAACACATGAGAACTCAGGAAACACAAGCCTATGTTCTGTGAAAGCTGAGTGGTCACCACTTTTTTCTCAAGCAGTTTATAAGAAATTTATCCCAAACATAACATAGAATTATCCTGAAAAAATGGTTCTAATGAGTCAACTCTCCTGACAGTTACATTCACTTCCTCACTGAGCTTTGTCCACAAAATGTCAAGGGTGCAGAATGACATGCTGTGTAGAGCCAAGTGACTTAAGGTCCAGGATGGGTTTTCCACACAAAACAGCTTCCAGGGGCACCAGAAAAAAAATGGGCAATTACCCAGAGGGAAATCTCATTCTCAGAGACACTCTCCTCCAACCAGATCCAAGGAAGCTGGTTGGCAAAGTTATGTCTGGAGAAGAAATCTATCTCTTGTTGAACCAGGGTTCTGGCTAGAGTGACCAGTTCATCTCCATTTGCCAGAATTTCCAGTCTTAATCACTGATAGTCCCATGTCTCCAGAACTTCTCAGTCCCAGGAATACTGAGATGGGTGGTGACTGCTGGCTTACACCCCCCATGATACTTGCAAAAATGAGAACTCATAAAGGAAGCTGGAGAAGTCAAGCTTTGTAACAAGCAGATCATGGAGAAGAATAGAAAGACAGTAAAGGGCAGGTTAAGAGGGCCTCAGAGGCCACTAGGCAGGTACAACAATACATGAGCAACCCTCCAAGCTGAAGCCAGGCAGCCTTATATGGATTGCCCATGAATTTGACCATCCGGATAATTGAGGATTCCCATGCTAAGCAAGACGACTGGGCCCAGGAGATCAAAAACCTCCCTAAAAGGGGCACTCTGCCTAATGGCCAAAGGACACACACACACACACACACACACGTTTCCTTGACCTCTTTCTCCTTTACATAATGGCCGTGGTATTTGCATACCTATTTTTCTAGTAGAAGTAGTCTACATCGTCCCCCACAGACCTTCTCTGTCCATATCGCAGACCGCAAGACCACATGGAGCCCTGACTTTGACACCAGTCACAACAGAGACGCACTCACTGGCCCTCGGCCCTAACAGGTAGAGTGCCAGGCCAGAAAAGACCCAGAAAAAACATCACATCTTCGCCCACAAAGCAACCTCAGAACTGACCCCCAAGGCTCATTGTGAGAGCCAGGAAGAGGGACTCACCAGGACTCTGCCCGTCAGCGTCTGGGCTGATATCATGACCCCTGCCCAGTCCTTCACGGAGGTCATCCAGCCGACTTCTGCGGCCACTGCCCCCTCTTGTTCATCTGCGGGCTTGAGGGGGCCATCAGCCTGGCTTGTGCCATTGTTGATCTTCTGTGCTTCCTGGGGGAAAAAAGAGAAAACAAGGGCTAAGCCATAGCGACCAAGTCCATTTTAAAAACATAGCAGGCCTCTCAAGAATCAAAGCCCACAGAGATTTGGACTCACTATGCCTGCACATTGACCCTAACGTGTGGGCAGTGAGCACAAGGGTGTCAATGTAGAGTAGAGCACTGGGTGTGTATGAACAGCTCCCTGAGCACAAGCAAGAGCTGTTCATCAGGAAAGAGTGTGTGTCCAATGACCCACGTGCAGTTGGACATGCTGCAATATAATCACCTGTGTGCAGATGCAGGGACACCCCTGACACATAGATAAGCGATGATGCGCGTGCTCACACACATGGGATGCCCAGATGTCTACACGGATAAGGACTGGTGTCCAAAACTATGAAGAAATATACACTGAACAGTGAACTACATGGAGGATAGGTGGAAGGAGGAGAGGGTAAATGCAACTTTGATTGCCTTATTTCTTTATTTTTAAGATTTGCTATTTTAAAAGAATCTTTTCTTTATCTCTTGTGTTAATATTTTCCTGAAAGAAGGGTGTGATTATTTTCGTCCTTTAAAAGAAATTAACCCCAAAGTCCCTAAGCATAAACAACCAGGTCCGGCACACTGAACAGCTAGGAAAAGGTCTTGACATGCCACCCTTAGGCCTCTTCTCCTAGTAGCACCCGAGGTGTTCATTGAGGAAAAGGACCTCTGTCGACCTTAGCTCTCGGACTGGGGACTGGCTGGCCAATTAGACCAGGCTACCCCCTGGCAACAGTAACTGGGCCAGGGGTGGTCAGACAACCCACAGGAATCCCAAAGACTCAAGCCTGAGATGTTTCCTAGGAAGTATAGCAAAGGGAAACCCCCTCAAAGAATGAAGCTCCACAGAGGAAAGTAGAAGTGACAGAGCAGTAGTGTCACCATTTGAACACCTGGACTCAGACATGCCTGAAATCCACATCAGAACTTTTCAGCTACAGAAAGCCAGAAATACCTCCTTGTTTGATAAGAATGTGCTAAGGAAACACAGCTCATTAAGTAAGAGTCCCAACAACCAAAGAAAAATACCATACCCACTCCACTGCCATTCTGCTGATTTCTACTCACAGTGTCCCTGTACGACACAGAACTGCTCCCTATGGATTCCAGGGTGGTAAATCCTTACGTGAGCAAAGACTTGCCTCCTCTTTCTCTGAGGAGATTTGCCTGGTGGGTTTGACGGATAACTTGACATCGTTATGCAACAAGTGACCCACTACTCTACCAGAGTTTCTCAACACCCAAACCTGCAACCCTACATAGGATTGTTGACGCTGTACATCGTTATGGGAGCAGAGAGCCCCACCACTTTCCCTTGGAGTGTGTGGTGGGTTTGATCCAACAATGCTTACGTGGGCTCCTAATAGAATTCCATGGGGGCCTTAAATTATGTGCCTTTGTTCTGTGTCTTGGACATTCTTTCACATGGCTTGTTACCTCACCTCCTTCAAGTTTTTGTTTAAATCACACTTTGTTCAAATATCACTTCTCCGTGAAAGCATGCCCTATTAAACTGAAACTCTGCCCCCCAATACTATTGCCTTTCCTGCTTTATTTCTCTTCATAGCATTTAAGCCCTCTACTGCACTCTATAATTCACTCATTTCATTGAATGCTTGCCTCTCCCCTAGACTAGAATAAGCTATATGGGGACAGATTTTGGTCTGTTTCATTCACTATTATATCCCCAGTGCCTCAAAGAGTGTCTAGCAGAAAATTGGTTCCATAAATATAGATGAATGAATGAAATAAAAAAAAAAAACTATCAGCCCCTCAATGACTAAAGAGCCCAGATTTAAGGGTTTCCCAATTAAATATGAATTTCAGATAAACAGGGGATTTTTAAATTTGTTTTAGGTCTCAAATATTGCATGTGGTTGTGGCACAGTGACCACATGTGACAAAGTAGAACTAAGCTAGTAGAAAAAGATCAGTTTGTGTATTGCCATATTTAGACTTGGAAACCCTAAGGTGTGCTTCTACTCGGTCTTATAATAGATGTAATGTCAGTGGAGCTTTTGTTTGTCTGTTTCATCGTTAGTTGCTGAGTGGGTTTGAACCATCTTAATGCAGGGGATATACTTAGAGTGAAAATAGTATTTGTCATGTCTATCTGTCTAAGATAGGATAAACAATCCTGAAGAGAAAACAGGAGGACGTGGGAGAGAGGGAGGTGGGAGAAAGTCAAGGGAGAGCCAAGAAACCCAGGGACAAAGGAACAAGTCATCTACAATCGATGGTGAGGAGAATGCCTGGTGAGGCTGGATCAAGAACGTAGCCAAGAGAAATTACTGAAAGCTGAATGAAGGTCAAACACGATAGTGGGACAAGAAGAAAGTAAGAGGAAGTAGAGGAAGGAACTAGGACATGATCGCCGAAGACAAATTGGGTACATAAGCAAATGTGATGAAGAAAGCTGATGGTTCCCGGCTATCAAGAGATATAGCATCTGGGCCCTTAAAGGCTTGAAGATAAACAAGCGGCCATCTAACTGAGAAGCAACAAAGCCTATATGGAAGAAGCATACCAGACGGTGTGATCATGAAGTGTCGATAGGATCAGGTATCAGGCATCAAGGAACAAAAAATCATATCATTGTGAATGAGGTGAGTGCAGAGTGGAGACCCAAAGCCCATCTGTAGACCACTGGACATCCCCTTACAGACGGGTCATGGGGAGGAGAAGAGCAAGTCAGGGTGCAGTACAGCACCGATGATAGCAACAAATGTACAAATGTGCTTGACACAATGGATGTACGTATGAATTGTGATAAGAGTTGAACAAGCCCCAAATAAATTGATTTAAATTTTTTTTTAATTTTTCTTTAAAAAGACATGTATAGAGGCATGTACATATGTAAATATATTTATATATAGTGATAGGGAAATAGATCTATATCCATATATTTATAGGTTAAGTATTAAGGTGGCAAGTGGACATTGGGCCTCTACTCAAGTACTCCCTCAACAGAAGGACACTTCGTTCTAATAGCTTGGCATTCCATGATGCTCAGCTTCCTGACATGATCACTGAAGACAAAATAGGTGCATAAGCGAATGTTGTGAAGAAAGCTGATGGTGCCCGGCTATTAAAAGATAGAGCATCGGGAGGCAAAGGACATTTATAGAGGTCTAGATAAAGACATTTACATATGCAAATATATTTATATATGAGGATGGGGAAATAGATCTATGTGCCTAAACTTGTAGATTTAGTATTAAGGTAGCAGAAGGACATTGGGCCTCCACTCAAGTACTCCCTCAATGCAAGAATACTTTCTTCTATTAAATTGGCATTCTATGATGCTCACCTTCCTGACACAACTGCTGAAGACAAAGCGGGTGAATAAGCAAATGTGGTGAAGAAAGCTGATGGTGCCCGACTATCAAAAAGTATAGCACCTGGGGTCTTAAAGGCTTGAAGGTAATCAAGCGGCCATCAAGCTCAGAAGCAACAAAGCCCACATGAAAGAAGCACACCAGCCTATGCAATCACGAGGCATCGAAGGTATATAAGGTATCATCAGAAAAAAAAATCTTACCATAGTGAATGATGGGGGGAGTGCGGAGTGGAGACCCAAAGCCCATTTGTAGGCCACTGGAGATCCCCTTGCAGAGGGCCTTCGGGGAGGAGATGAGCCAGTCAGTGTGCGATCTAACAACGATGAAAAATGCAACTTTCCTCTGGTTCCTCCCCCACTATCATGATCTGAATTCTGCCTTTCAATTCTGGCTGGACCAGAGGATGTACATTGGTACGGATGGGAGCTGGGGTCTTAAAGGCTTGAAGATAAAAAAGCAGCCATCTAGCTGGAAAGTAACAAAGCCCACATGGAAGAAGCACACCAGTCTGTGTGACCATGAGATATCAACAGGATCAGAGTGACAAACAATGGAAACATGAGTGAAGGGAGACAGCAGATGGTATAAGTTATGAAAATAATAATAATTCATAATTTTTCAAGGGTTCATGAGGGTGGGAGATAGGAGGGAGGGAGGGAAAAAATGAGTAGCCGGTACCAAGGGCACAAGTAGAAAGAAAATGTTTTGAAAAGGATGATGGCAACATATGTACAAATGTGCTCAGCACAATGAATGTATGGATTATTATAAGAGCTGTAAAAGCCCCCAATAAAATGATTTATAAAAATAATAAATAAGCATACTTCCTGATGAAAAACATACTATTTATGTACCAATCATGTAAAATTCACTGCCCCTTCCAATCATATACCCATTGAGACTATTACAGCAGATGCAGATATTTTTAAAGGTGCCAGAAGATTAAGTTCTTCATTTAAAACTGTAGAATTAATTTCCAAAGCAAACCAACCCTGAGGATCCTAGTGACTTGGAGTGATGGGGGAGCGTGCAGCCACAAAGCAAAGATGCAGCTTTCTTTGCAGCAAGGAGAGGGAGCACGGGAGGCACCCAGGATGAATCAGCATCGCATCATCCAGGACTAAGCCAGGCAGGAAGCTGCTCCTACTGTCTGCCTCTGGTCCCTCTGGCCTCCTCTGGCTTCTGGGGAAGCTGGAGAAGAGAGGCAGTGCCAGCCGGATGCTAAGGTTTTATTTTCAATGATATTACACTAAGCGCCACGAAGCTATAGCAATTCAATACGTGCCACAGGTGGGCAAACTTAAAGGATGCCTCCAATATCTGTGAAAACTGTCACGCACATGCCTCCTAGGGCTGTGTCTGGTCCCTGGGTGGAGACTGTACAGCAGTTGTAAAGGAAGAAGCAGGAGCTCTGATCCATAAGCAGACTTAGAATGCCAAGGTGTAGATTTGGGATCAAAATCCATGCTTGCTGCCTGCCAGAGAATTAACAATCCAAGGAGTCACCCCCGCCTCCACCACAAGATAGGGACAATACTGCCTGAGACACAGGCATTGCCGGGATTAGACTGGGCTTGCTGGGGGCCCTGGGGGCTCGCCACCACGCTGTGAGCCCTGAGGTTGG